CTGTCTGTACATTTTCAACCAGGTGCAAGTTAATGAGTTAATGAATTAAAGCGATGTGTTAGGTTCCCTTACATAGATACATTTTTACCAGTGCTTTTGTATCTTATAATTAAAATGATTGATTCTCTGTAAGTTATCTCTGTAAATGGTGTTGTGAATTGACAATAAACTGATTGGCAATAAATTTGGTGTACACCATAACAACCAACAATTATAAAGTTCATTTGAAAACTATACCTGATCAGAAGGATATGCAGATTTAGGTATAGCTCCTACACAAAAGCTCAGAGTTTGTCCTTGTCCCTGTGCCGCTTCGTCAGCATTGTCAATAACAGTGTGGATCATGTTGCCCTCTGTTAATACTCACTGCAACTCTTGGACGCCATCCTAAACTACTCCAGTTTCTCTGTTTATCATTATTGTGATATGTTGAAACAGGCCTGATGCAATAAACAAGATCTGATTACACAACCTAGCAACAACAAAGACTGCCACAAATAGTCTTTGTGCAAACACCTCCGGAAGACGACAGTGAATGTAAATACTTGACTTCCCTGATATCCAGCAGCTATGCACTACGCTATGCATACACTCAGCCCACACTCACAGGCCTTGTTCACACAGCAATTTGTTTAGTGGAATAAAAGCTACTGATTTATCGAATGCATAAAAAAAAACAATGAGAGGAAAGACTTTTCCAAGGCTATATATTCAAGCATTAGGTTGTTGAGGATGCTGCAACAATTACATCTGTCGGGTAGTGGAACTTCCTTTGAGAAGGATAGAGCACCTTGCAATGTTATTCATATTCATTGGAACTTTTCTAAGATGCCCTAATTCACAACTACAATTTTCAATACATATTATTGTAACTATGTTTTAAACCAACACTAACAAATAATAATTCAGGGAAATGGTAAATGGCATGTACTTATATAGCGCCTTTATTCAAGTTAGGAGACTTGACCAAAGCGCATTACACTACATTCATTCACCCATTCACGCACACACTCACACACTGATGGTGACTAGCTACATTGTAGCCACAGCTGCCCTGGGGCTCACTGACAGAAGCGGGGCTGCCGTACACTGGCGCCCTCTGACCACCATCAGTATACAATGCAGGTGAAGTGTCTTGCCCAAGGACACAACGACACTGAAAGTCGGATTCGGGGCTTGAACCGTCAACCCTTCTATTTCAGGGCAAACTCCTACATCCAATGCCACTGTCGCCCCAGGGAAAGGAAGCAGATCTGATTTTATTTATTGTTCTTACATAACATTTTTATTAAAGTATGTGCTCATTTTTTTTGAACTCTCAAAAAGTCTTGCCTTCCAGCAAGAAGGTTCTGGGTTTGATTCCCGGCCCAGGGTCTTTCTGCATGGAGTTTGCATGTTCTCCCTGAGCATTTGTGGGTTCTCTCCGGGTACTCCGGATTCCTCCCACAGTCCAAAAACACGACTGTAGGGTTAATTGGCCTCTCTAAATTCCCCTTAGGTGTGAGTGTGTGCATGAATGGGTGTTTGTCCTGTTTGTCTCTGTGTTGCCCTGCGATGGACTGGCGACCTGTCCAGGGTGTACCCTGCCTCTCGCCCGTAGACAGCTTGAAATAGGCATCAGCACCCCTCACGACCTCACATGGGATTAAGCGTGTTAAAAGATGGATGGATGGAAGTCTTGCCACTGATTTGACATGGGAAGTTGGAATACACAACTATCCTTCAGATAATAAAGACAAGGATGTAAATAAGGCCTCCTTGCCAACTTCTATTCTTTCAGTTAATCAAGCACTTACATTTTTCACTAGTCAGATAAAGAAAAATTTCACAACAGCTGTCTTTTGTTTATGGCATTGGGGAATTTAGGAAACCTTACACACTTATGTTTTATCTCTCCTAGCCTTCCTTTCTACCCGATTAGTCAAAGGAAACACATGCGTCCTTCTAAGCTATGTTGTAAACATATACACACAGCACAACTAAGTGTTACTACCATCTTAGTAATAGCAGAGCATTGGTTTTAGTACAGAGTATTGAGTATAGTTATAAGAACCTGTCAGGCGTATGGAGCTGTGGATTTAAGGCTATCTTTATAGCTAGTGGGGAAAAGCTTCTATTTCGATGTAATTAAAGACACAGTTTTTTTTAGAACATCTTATAGGGAAACCTTTGGCTTGGTTCCTGTTTTACAGATGCTCAGACAGCAAGGTTCAGGTGGCTGGTTTTATTTTCAGCCAAGGTACAGTCAGGGCAAGATACACTGCTGGGAGCATTCTGGGATTCAGAATTTCTACCAGCCTGTTTTTCCTCTGTTTGTAGTTAATAAAGGGAAATTGATTCCACAATTTTTCTTTAGGGGTATTAAATTAAAATGATTCCAAAAGAAATCAATTCTAAACATTTTGGAGTTTATCAGTAAAAATATTTATTATTTCATCTAGTAGAGAATAGAAATATAATTTTTTATTTTTATTTTACCATAGGGAGGATTCAGGTGTGTTAGTGGCAAAGCAAAGGGCAAATTGAAGCATACAGGTTCACACTTCCAAAACAAAAAACAAAAAACTGTTAAAAAAAATGCTTTGATCGGTCCAATAAGATAAAATATAATAACGTAAAGTTTTAGTTTAAAAGTGATAAAACTAGAATAAGTCTAAGTGGTAAAATGTTTTTGTACAGCCATGCATTTTTGAAAGGAGATAGAACACAGGCAAAAACACATATGTAGTTCATCCTTTACTTAGTGGATCCAGTGGAATTCCTTAAACCAACCTGTAGTCCCATGGTGCCCAGTCAGGATGCCCTGGATTGGAAAAAACTAGTACTCAACATATGTGGCAAGGCAACCAAAAATCCAATGGTTTTAGATTCTCTATTTAAAACACAAATGATTTACTTTATAAAGTAGGAACACATTTATTAATAGCACTGAAAATGCAGGAAGAATTCCGAAGACACAGAGATAGCTGCTGAATGTGCATAACTAAAACCTTATTGATATTAACTATGGCTACAATGGTGATAGAACAAGATAATGAGACAACGATCTCTGCGTTGATCTTTAGATGGATAAGCTATTATTTCCTGACGTCTGATTGGCTGTTTTCCACTGAGCAATATAGGATAACTTCTTCCTGGTTTTCTTGAGGACTTTGGCAGTTTCCACAACATAAGACCACAGCAAACTCTCACATAAGTTTATTAGTATAGTGAGGATCAAGCTAGTGATATAGAGGCTGGATAATTAAGTTACTTCCACCTTTGCCAGTAATAATGTTAACTTTCAAATAAAAAAAGACCAGGGTGAAGTTCTCTTATCTTTCTCTGTTAGAAGCAGCCAATCAGTTGCCAGAGTTTCTATAAGAGTGGCCCTAGTCCTGCCTCTATGACTTTGATAGATATATTACAGCTAAATTGAATTTATGGTGTGCTTCGGTACAGGAACACACGTTGGTGGCGTGGGTAGCACTGCTGCCTTGCTGCAAGACGGTTCTGGTATCGATTCCTGGCCCGGGTTCTTTCTGCATGTAGCTTGCATGTTCTCTCTGTGCATGCATGGGTTCTATCCGGGTACTCCGGCTTCTTCCCAAAGTCCAAAAACATGACTGTTAGGTTAATTAGCTTCTGTAAATTGTCTTCAGGTGAGTGTGTGCATGAATGCTTGTGTGTCTTTGTGTGTCTCTGTGATGCCCTGCAACAGAATAGTCCCACCGCGACTCTGACTGGACTAAGCGGGAGAAAATGGATGGATGGATTAATTAAATGAACTCTGTATTTCTGTAACATTTATGTTTTAAAACATTGATAATGCATATATTAATGGAACTGTGGCACTCATCACCCTCCATAGTTTACAACCACTGGATGTTCTTCTGCAGGTATAAAAATAGAGGGGGTAGAGGGGGGTTCCCGAATCAGCCCCCTACATCTTTTCCTACAAATATATATATATATATATATATTTTTTTTTTTTTTTAACTATGGGTCTGAGGTGAATCCTTTTGCAAAACTAAAACTGATGCTATATATTGTTATTTCTGTTATTTATTTTATAATATATAAATTACTTTGGTGGAACAGCTCGATATAAACTACAAAGAGGCCTTTAAATGCCCCATAGTACAGTTAAAAAGGTAACTAAGTTCTGTTCGTTTCATGTATGTCCTCTACAAACTATGGATTAAATATTACATTTAAACTAAAACCTATACGCTAAAATGTACCATATTGTTGATTAATACAGACAGTTTTGTACATGTGACCTAAGCACGGGAATATCATTTGAAATAGACGCAATAAATATTAAAGGATACTTTTCCTTTAACTTTCTCTTAAGAGAATTTTGTCTTATTACTTGAATCACATGAATAAAATTACATGGATAAAATGTCCTCTGTATTCTACCATGCAAAACCTGATTTCTAAAATTCTAAATTGTAGGGGAAGTATTGGCCTAGTGGTTAGAGCAGTGCGCTTCTGCTCTAAAAAGGTTGCAAGTACCCGATTTGTTTCCCACAGCCTGAACTCTGGGTCCCTAAGCAAGGCCCTTACCCCACACTGCTCTCCGGGCGCCACACAATGGCATCCCACTGCTCCCCAAGGCAATGGGTTAAATGCAGAGGTAAAATTCTCCAATGTGAGATCAATAAAGTTCAATTAAAAACAAAAAAAATAAAATTTAAAGTATAAACCTCTGTTCATACATCCTGTGAAAAGAACTTAAAAACAAACTAATGGAAAGAAACGTCATTCTACAAAAATTAGTTTGGACTTAGTTTTAGCTAACTTTTACTCAAGCAGCACATAATGATTTGGAGGAAGAATTACCTATTTTCTCAATTTCCATTTCAGCCTCTAAGAATTGATCACAATTTCTAAATAAAACATTTTGACAGCAGAGAGTGGTGTTGATTCAGAACCTAGCTATATACAACAGCCTCTTCTGTCACTTCCTGTCAGAAACATGGCAAACAATCCATAATGTGATGCATCAAACTCACCGAGCACACCAATGCGATAGTTCATGGTGACAACAATCACATTTCCGTAGGCAGCAAGGACACTCCCATCAAACATGTTGCCTGAGCCCTCCATGTAGGAGCCTCCATGGATAAAGAGCATGACTGGCTTCTTTCGACGATCTCGTATATCTGCAATATAAAGATAAAAAAAAACAATCTAAACTTGTTACTTGTAACAAAGAGTTAGATTTGAAGAAGTCATATTTACATGCATATACAGTAATGATATTTATACGCAGGTAAACCCCAGGGGTAAAGGTTTTGCATGAGGCTGTCTTCATGTAAAAGGAACAAAAAAGGATTTCTGACATACAGTTATTCTAAAGATAAAAAATTGAGGAAAAAATAGAAAAAAATGATAGACACTTGTACATGATCTAAAAGTAAAAGAAAATGTGGTTTTTATATATTCTGAAATGGACTGCTCTAAGAGCAACCCTGTCATGCTTTGGTTAATGAGTGAAGAAGACCTTATATGAGCAAACAATCCATATGAGTCAGGTGCACAGAGATGCAGGAAGCTATTTTATAAGCGTTTAAAAACATCTTAAGAAAAAAATATGCATTTAAATTCTGAGAATTTCAGCAGATATCAAAAATGTTCTGGTGAAACTTTAACCACTTTCAAGATGCAATTAATAGGAGAAAGAGCCAGTGAGGTGAAGACTATATTAACACTAAATACTGTGAAACCATTTGCATTTGCAGAGAAATGTTTTTTTGTGTTTTTTTTTTATTCTAGTCTTTGCTACTGTTAATGAAGTTGTTTCTGGTGTTATTAAATTATTTCTGAAGTCTTCAAGCTTATAGACTTTTAGCAGACGACATAAAAGCTAAACAAAAAACATTTCATTTTTGTTGTTGTTCTTTTTAGCCATGGAAATGTTGGTGGCCTTTTCAAACTCAGAGACAGGGTCTAGGTTATTTACAAGATATACATGGAGATGGGTCTTTTTGTAACACTTTCTGATGCTGAGCTCTGATATAGGAAAATGCAAACTATTTAATTATTCTGCATTTTCTTTGAACCATTTCATTTTGTCTCCTTTTTGACAGTTGTATGCCATTTTTTCCTCTTCTAGAATAAATTATTGATGATGTTCAATGCTGCTCCTATATGTTATTTCATATTTCTTTATAAATAAAGAAATTTGCTATGAGAGTTTGGAAATAACCAAAGGTTTTTCATTTGCATTTCTCTCATTAACAGATTTCTAATGCAATGCCTTTTTCTGCACCTTGTACTTGATGTTTTTTTTTTTTTTAACATCTTGATCAAGACATGCTCGCAAAAGAAAATCCGAAAATCAATGGATTTCTTTCCTGGTAAAATACAGGTTAAATAAAAGTATTTTGTGCATGTCCCATTCTATGTGTCCTCTATACCTCCTTCTCTGATGCCTGTTTTCCCTTCCTCTGCAGCGATGGTATCATCCCACACTCCTATTCTCCTCCATGTGTGAAGCAAATGGTGCAGACAGTTTCGATGCCTTATCTGTTATTGGTGTCTTTGCACCCATCAGTATGTTGCTATGGTTTACTCAGTGAGTCTGTGGACCCCCCCACCCCTGACTACTCCTCCACTCTGGACCCCCTCCTCACAGCGTCTGTGGTATGTTCGGAGTGTCTGAGCATGGATGAGGCTGAGAGAGCTGCCAGAGCATCCCAGTTAGGCTGAGCGTCTGCACTGTGCAAGCCCTGTGGATAATTTGTATGAAAGGCAGACCAAGTGGAAACATAAATAACAGCCACAGCATCTGTTTACCCTGATGAGCTTCAGTGCTCAAAGAAGGGAGAGGGACAGGAAGATAACAGGAGAGAAAGAGAGCAAGGGTGGAAGAAGGGGGAGCTGCAAGATAAAACAGAGAGAAAAGATGAAAATAGGGCAGCATGAGAAAAGAGATTGGTAAAGAGATGGATCGGAGGTTCACCAACATAAAAGAAGATATCAAGGATGAGGAAAAAAATTAACGGCACAAAGCAAGACACACATGGCAAGGTACGCTAATGAACGCTCAAATTCACACAGGATTCACCCCGGATTCATACAAAGACGCACACACAAACTCTTGCATAGGCAGCTGCGATGTTGAGTCGCTATGGAAACTGCTTCTCGCTAATAGAACTGCACCAGCCATTCCATCGCACCGACTGTTGCCGTGGTAACAAATTCCACTCACGTATTTGCACACCGCCTGCATCACCACCTGAATCTCAGGTTACACATGCACCGGGGGCGCGTCACTCACAGAGACAGGCGCACTTGTGGCGGACAAGCCTGGGGACACGCGACACAAGGATACATACATGCAGGGTTTTCCTTTGTTATTCTGCATCTTTTGTTATAACATATTTGTGACACGAGCAGGTTGGAAATAAAAGGGGGGAAAAAACTCAATACATTTCAAGTCACAGACCCCAGCGCGACATTCTTGTTCTGCTTGTCATTGGTGTATTCTGAGCCTCAGCTCATTTCCCAAAGGAGATGTAGACAAGTTCAATTATCTTGACGTTACTAAGACAGTATGGAGGAGTGACGTATTAGCTGGCCGTCATCAGCCACACTCAGAGCAACGCTCAGAATGTAAATTAAACCTGAAGAGAAAGGGAACCAGAATCAAGAAATGGCCTATGTCAGCTATGAGGCTTCCTTTAGTGATTCATTGTTGAACTGGAGGGTTTAGCATTGATCAACATTTCCCTCTTTGTCTATATTTTAGACTGTTTTTGAAAAAACAGTGTAATGATAATGATGAAATGCAGTTATCCCATCCACTTTGTGATTCCAAGAAGTTACACACTAGCCTACCATCTATTTGACCCAAAAAGAATTTTCAAACATGCAACACGGCCATATATCCACAGTTCTCCCTCAAGAGACAGATACTCTCTGTTACAGCTCACCCTTTCTATTCTGCTCCCATTATCATTTTCAAAATAAAAAATAAAATAGATAAAAGAGGGGGGCGGAGTGGTGGTCTAACAGCAGGGCTAGTTCAGGGAATGCTGCAAGTTTCCTGGTTTGATCTCAGTGCAGAAATGCTCCCCTAGTGACATATAGAGGCAGCCCACAGCTCTCTAAGTGATGGGTTAAAGGCAGAGGACAAATCTAACTAGAATATAAAATAGGTGACTATGACAAATTATAAGGATTTTGTCCATCAGAATTAAAAACCTAAGGGGAATACCTGTGAAAACATAAATTAGGGGTATGTCACATCCATTTTTGAAGTCAATTCACAGCATTTCAATAAGATATTGCAGATCTAAAATTTGAATGGGCTCATAACATTTCTTGTATTAAATGAAATAAAATTTCATAAAAACAACTTTTGCAGCTGTGGCCATAAGGTATCTAATACCTGTCGTGACAGCATCCCCGAACCCAGTTCTGGTGCCCGGAAGTAAGGGATGCCATCAAGCTGAAGAAGGTGGCCTACCTGGCCTTGTTAGCTAGAGGAAAAAATGTCACCTCGGGAAAAAACTCGGGTCTGGGAGGAGTTCGGAGAGGCCATGGAGAAGGATAATCAGTCAGCCTCTAAAGGGTTCTGGAAAACTGCTCACCTCCTTAGGTGGGGGAAACAGTGCTTCACCAACACTGTTTACAGTGTGAGTGGGGAGCTCCTGACCTCGTGTTGAGTGGTGGAAGGAATACTTCGAGGAACTCCTCAATCCCATCGTCACGACTTCCAGGAGGAGGCAGAGGCTGGGGACTTAGAGGTGGACTCGTCCATCTAGGCTGAAGTCACTGAAGTAGTGAGGAGCTCAGTTACCTGAGAGGAGCTTTGAGTAGAGTCGGTCCTCCACATCCAAAAGAGCCAGTTGAGGTGGCTCCGGCATCTATTCCAGATACCTCCTGGTCGCCTTCCTCTGGAAGTGTTCCAGGCATGTCCTAATCGGGGGAGGCCTCTTGCAAGGCCCAGGAAACGCCGGCGGGACTATGTCTCTGAGCTGGCCTAGTGTTTCTTTGGGGTCCCCCCAGAGCAGCTGGAGGAGGTATTTGTTTGATCGGGAAGTCTGGGCATCTGTGCTTAGATTGCTGCCTCCGTGACCCGGCCCCAGATAAAGTGGAAGAAAATGGATGGATGTATAAAAACAACTTTAGGAAAAACTGGTGCTCACCTTGTAAAATCAAACTTCAAATATTTGATAGTAGGTATAGTAAAAAACAGAAACAACGTGTGATGAAATAAAAACACAAAGCCCACCAAGACACATGTTTCTAACTGGGATGTTTGGTTCTAGTTGGTAAATTCTTAAAAGTTCCATACACCAGTCAATTTTAGCTTATCCCTTATATTATGTTAAGGGTCAATTTGACCCATTTCAGTTTTTGTGTTGATCAAAGTACTGGTTATCTTTTTTTTTCTTCATGAAATTTGGTGACTTTTCCTCATCTGGGGTCATGATCATGTATGTAAAATCTGGTCACTCTGATGTGTAGTGGAGTGTCTGTGCAGAGTATGTATACAAATATGATGTTGTGAGTCATTTTGACCCGGATACTTTAATGTGGGTAGGTAGCCATTCAGGTGAATAAAAATGCTTTTTTGACGTACTTTACTCTTTTCATTTGCCTCTGAGACCCAGACCCAGGTGTTGTAAGGGAGGGAACTTTCTTACACTAGTTCTTGTCACTGCTCTCACGTCATTTATATGAAAAAACTCACCAAAAACTGAGCTCCTGAAGTATTACAGCTGAGTAGTCTTTATCACAAATTTTGAACTGGGATAGTGATGCAGAGGAAGAGGTTTCTAAGACAGAGGATCTGTCAGAATCAGAAGACAAAGTTATTGTTGATCCAGATGATCAATTTTCCTACGATGAGAAGGATTCAGAGGAAGAGTCTGCCATTGTCCCCCCAACAGATGAAAAGCCAGGAATGAGGCAATCATCTTCCACAAGAGTGACATGGAAATCTAAAGACGGTAATATAAAATGGTCAACATCACCACACCAGAGTTGATGCAAACTGTCATCAGCTAATTTGATAAAAACTCCTGGTCCTACTAGTTTAGCCATCACATGAATTGAGGAGATTCAGTCAGCATTAATGCCCATATCATAATATGGGCAGCCTGAGGTGCAAAGTCCAGCTATGCATGGAATATGCAAGTATATACTGGAA